AAATATCAATGTGTATCCATATATTGGTTTTAAAAATATGTGTATATCATCACAATTTTTAGTGCAAGATATATTATATTAGAACTGATAGCTTAATCAAGAGACAAATACTAGGAAGCAAATAAGTAGTATAGAACTTGAACTTGAAGCATTAAATATAAATATTGATTCGCTCAATTATGCTCATTATAGAGTCATGTAATCAATTGTGAAAATGATATTCCTTGAAATGACCCGATCACAATTAGTTTATGTTGTCTCTAAGGCTTAAGGCTTATCTAATGGATTATTTATGCATGATGTTATAAATTAGATACATTGGAAAAATTTTTAAGTTATTTTATTTTGCAAAAAGTCCCTAAAATCAAAGTCTATGAGTTCGCCTCATAAGCTAATAAAAAACAACATAAAAAGAAAAGAACTTTAAGGATTTTATCAAAATTAAGGATTAAAATCAAATTAGCTATGTCCAATAAAGAATACTTTTGACTAAAATCAAGTTCAGACAAACTAAGTTGCAGTGCAGTGGATTTTTGAAAAGCTAACTGTCACTTTTATCAGGAGGCTTCTCAAGCAATGGAGTGAAGAAGTTATTCCTTAGCTCTTCGTTAATAAATAATAATTACTTTGGCAAAAAAGGGATTTTTTTTAGAATTCATGCGTCATCAAAATGATCAAAAAAATCTTATGCATTGCATTTTGGGTCAGCATTTACGAACATATCGCTTAATTCTAATTTATTTACACATCTCACATGTAAACTTTCATATTTACACACATAGCACTCAAATTATTAATATCACATAAAAATGACACTATTTTTATTTTTACAAAAGTAAAGCACACATTTTCATGCATAAGTTTAAAGCATCGGAGTGTTATGTATCTAGATGTCGAATTCGAGATTCTCCTTGAATCACACTACACACAAGGAATATAGTGCAAATGAAGAGGGAGAGGGAGGGAGAGAGAGAGATGAGTCGTGGAAAACAATGTTGTTTCTTCATCAAATGCTTCTCCTATATATAGAGGATGTAGTACAATAGTGATATTACATCTTTATCCCCATTTGGAGGGGGGATTTATACTAGGGCTTTATTGGTATTTTACAAGTGATGGCTTATTGTACCAACTTCTGGCTCAGCCGGCTAAGCTTATTCAACTTGGCTAGACTAGGTCGGGATCTTGAATGGTTTCGGTGGCTTGTAGTCATAGATCTACTGAAAGAATGCATTTTTGAATGAGAGGGCACTTCAGTATGCAAAACCTAATGTCAATCGATTGGTGTTGATCCAGCAATGTCGAGATATTGAGTTTTGAAAAGACATGAGAGATCTTCTTTCCTTTAATTGTCACCAGAATGTCATGCCAGTGTTGCTAATCTTACTCCTAATTTAGGATGCTTCTAAATACTTCCAACATTTGATCATTCAGAACTTGGATATACTTGACCACAATCTCCCTAGTGCACTCCATATTATCATCAGTCTCCCTATTGTGAGCTCATTATTCTTGTGTTGCTTCTGTTCTTATTGGTGGCATAATCCACACATATCACACCTTTCAATATATTAAATTTGAGTTTACCCTTGAATTACACAAAATGAATAGAGAATATACGAGGAGAGAGATGGAGGGAGGGAGGGAGGGAGAGAGGGAGTGAGAGAGACATTGAGAGGGATTCATAGAAGGTTAACAGTAGACAAACAATGTTGTTTCTTCATTAAATGCTTCCTTTGTTTATAGAAGATGTAGTACAATAGTGATAATACATTTTTCTCCCATTTGGAGATTATCTATACTGGGGTATTTTTGGTATTTTACAATAGACGAGTTATGGTCCAATTATCTTCTGTTGAACTTAGTTGATGTGGCTTGATTGGGTCAGCTTGGCCAGCTCATCCAATCTGGTTGACTATCTTTAATGTCTAGTAAGGAGATTTTTGGGTCTCCATTCGATAGTCAGAGATACTTTGTGGAACTGAGTCTTCCTTCCATAGGATAAACTCCATTGTGGGATAGGCTACGACATTGAGTCAACTTTCCTGCAGTTAACAACCCAGAAGGTCTTCTGTCTCATTTTGATTGAATGGCTTATACTCATATTGCTTAGTCATTTTCGGGTTTGCTTTGGCCTAGTGGACTTGTCTATATATGTGTGTTTAGTACTTAAAGCTCATTTTAGCTTAATAATTGAGAGCTTGGAATCCTTGTTTGCATGTAAATCGTCTATTTAAATTTGGCTAAAAATAAAAGAACAATGTAAGGGCCTACGCCACATAGATCCATGAGTTGAGCTTCTTTTGAAGTAAAGCGGTCATTAGAGCTATTGGCAGAACCATCAAATGATGGAGGTCAGTTTTAGTGCAGAAAGCACTAACAAGGGTTCAAGGCAGAGCCAAGCTTTAATAAAAGGAAATTATAACAATAAAAGTAGCCAGCGCCCAGGAAAGAAAGCCGAAGTTTCTATCATTTATGCGCTTGATAAGGACTCTCAACCTCTCCCATGGTTTTTCTTTTTTTTTTGGTAGAAGTCAAAAGTTCTTAGCGGTCAAAAGAAAATTAGAAGAAAAGCAAAAGAAAAAGACAATATTGAGAGCATTATTGGGAGCATTATTGGGAAACTTCTTTAGACTTTTAGTGATGTTTGTTAACATAATTTCAATAGACTTTAGGCATGAATTTAAGATACATCCAGCCAAATACAAAAAAAAAAATGAAAATTAAATTTATCGCTTCATTAAATCAATATCTTTTTTATGATGAAAATCTGGATTTACTAAATTCGATTGTGAGATAAATTTAAAGGATTTACTATGCTCAGTCTCACAAAATTTGATAAATAATATTTAACGTAAAACCAAATTGCTTACCGCCATAGCTGTGTCAAAAGATTCTGAAAAAGAAAAGGAAAAAAAGAGTCGAGGATGGCCCATAGACGTGAACATGACCAAATGCCGGCTGCCTTTGCTACGCACTAATTTTAGTATTTTGGAGCTTTAAATCTATATGTGTGTGTGTATTTATATATATATGTATGTATGTATGTATGTATCTATCTATCTATCTATCTATCTCTATCTTATCTATCTATCTATCTATCTATCTATCTATATGTATGTAAATATGAAAAAGTTAACTTCACTTTTAAAAGTCGTAGTACTATGATTTTTAATGTGATATTAAATATTTGTGTGAGAAATGTAAATACATAAGAATTGCATGCTATGGATGTAAATGCTGTTAAAAAAATAATATTTGGAGGCAAGCAGCCACGGCGTCTACCCAAGAAGTTCTTTTTGGGCTGGCTTGAGTTTAACGACGCTGGATGACCCTATTAGAGTATAATCCAGAAATAGGATGGGCTCATAAAATACTTTAAAAAATAATAATAATAATAAATGCATTATAAATCCTCCAAAATAAATAACACTCCCAGCAAAAACATTATCTCAATATTATATTAATTGGAGTGACATCAGGCTTAGGCAGTGCTAGTGTTAGGTAACATATTATTAAAGAAAATTATCCATTAATATAATTTAAATTAAACCAAACATCAAAAAAATATATGAAAAAGAAATTCAGCACACCGTTAAATCTAATTTTCTCGCATTTCATATGTAATTTTTGTGACTTAAATTCAAATTTAATATATCCGATTTCGGACCAAATTTATTCCGCCGATGCTCCACGATCTGCTCCACCGCCGACTGAATTTGATAAATACTGTTTAACATAAATTTCATATGCAGCCAAACACACCCATATTTGATAAATCCAGATTTACTGGATTCAATAAATCCTATTTAACACAAATTTGATTAAAAGTCCTTTAGCTAGAAATTTGAAAAAATATACTTGTTATGTTTTTTTAAAATATATACATAAATCTTTTATTTTATCTTTAGTTGCGAGCATTTTCAAATTTATTGAAATAACAAAACAATCACGATCGGTGGTTGCGATAGAGGCAATCAAGAACAAGTAGCGGCGGTGCAACGTTGTTGCTGCGTTAGACTGACCGAGGGCGGCGAAGAAATGAGAAATCAGACTCTTCTAGCAAAACACTAGACTGCATACGACCATTCATTGGTGAGGATGATGACCATTTACATCCATACCACCTAATTCCTATGTATTTACATATATGACACATTTGCTATTTTATATTTATACCACCCAAATCTCTCATATCACATCAAAAATACAAATATTTTGATTTTTAAAAAGTAGAATACACCCTTTAATGCATATATGTAAAAATAGAAGCTTAAAAATAGAAGCTTAGATGTTAGATAAGTAAATACATAGGAATTGGGTGGTATGTATGCAAATATTTCAATTATATATACAAGAATCCCATAAAAATAAATCCACATACATTCCCTGGCCAGAAGGAGCTGTGTGCCAAATCTCTACAAATGGCTCAGCATATCACTCATGCAATTGCATGGTGCACTAAGCTTGGTTGATCTTCTGAAGTAAGGAGTCTAAATATATAAAATAACTAGAGACTTCCAACTTCTATAAACGTAACAATAATGGCATAAAATCTTAGATAAACTACAAGCAAAATAAATGTCTCAGCTACTTTTATCTATATAAGACAATCTATGGCAATTTTCTTCAGCAGGGTTATGCATTAATCATAATTATTGCCAGATATTAGTTGTTATTACACTACATGTAAATACTTTTATAATGTTGTCATCAATGTTTGTGTTAGAAGAGTTCCATTACATCTCAGCCCCATGAATGTTGAATACTCTAATTGATAAACATATATGCATATATAGATTCATAAATCCTAGTTGCTTGTGACGTGTCCTCGCGCGCTTAAAAGATATATCTAACCCCACAACATAGCCACATGTCGGACTAAAAGCATTCCTAACCGTGAATGAAGGGCAATCTTCTAAATTAGGTTATAGCTAGTGAAGATTGATTAATGATGGCCCAGCCTAATATAACTTATATATTGTAATAAACAATTTCAAGTACAAAACAAAATCATTCATAATAACATGAAAGAAAGATAAGTTGTCATCATCAATGTCATTGTTGAATTCTTTTAACACTTGCTCCCATAAAGTTTATGAATTCATACAATGTGGAAGAGACCTCGTGAGATGAGTAGAGGAGGTGAAGAGGGATGTAGTTCCAGGATAGAGGTCGTACTGTACGCAATCTATTGAGATTTGTTGTTGAAAAGATAACTCCATAGAGGTCAGACGGTTCGTAAATGAGCATTAATAGTGATGGGTCAAAGTCTCATTCCTTCTACCATGTCGGCGATCTCGAAGGATGGACCTCGGTGGTGAAGCTTGAGAATTGCAGGCGAGCTCAACGAACAGGTTTGACGAGTATGTGTGAGCTTGAAGGAAGAGCTCGATGAGTACAAGCGAGCTCAGCGGAGAAGCTTGATGAGTTCAGGCGAGCTTGGAGGTGGAGGAGCTCGCCAGGTTTTCTTAATAGATAGTCGTTAGACCCACCACTTTGATGGACAATCGATGAGTCTGATCAGTTAAAAAAGAAACAGGCTTCAGGTTTATGATAAAAAGACCCAATCTAATAGGTCCAAAAGACCCAAGTTATTATGTGCTACCTCGATGGCTTAGAAAATTCACTTTCGAATGTACAATCAATATAACAAAACACACAGACACACAAATAAAATATATATAAAACATAACTATAATAGAAAAAAATGTTAAAATGTGCATCTACCAGGGCCTTACTTCTTTCTAAAAATATGTAAACGTAATACAAATCTACCATTGCATTATGAATATGACAGAACCATACCTTTCGACATTACATGATCAATCTCGATTGCTTTGCCTACTTTGTAAAATATGTTACTTGAGTTGTTCGAGGATTTACCTTCCAAAATCTCAACTTAATAACGAAAACCCATTGCATATTATTTTCATAAATTAAATGATCAATTATAGAAATTAGCAATTGAAAGAATGCGTGGAGAAACATTTTATCATCAATCTCGTCCGCTTATGTATATAAAAAAAATTAAATTTAATAATTTTGTTACAAAAATTATGTATCAGAAAAATTCCAAAAGATTGAGAACAAATGGTATAGAATTGTAACAAGTGCCGAAATAGCCCATTGACTGTTTACATGAGACTATTTTAGTCCCAAAGTTTATAAAAGTACTACTAAATTGGTAGTACTAGACTCGTTAATGGGGCTAAAATAATCTTCATTCGGGACTATTTCAACACATATCAAAAAAACTTTTAGGACTAAATTAACACTTTTATAGAATAAAGGTCGAGGGACCAATTTGACAATTCTCTCTAACTATAATCAACATACAATAAGAACAATCTAACCCTGGAAGCACTAAAAATTTAAAGCATATCACAACTCCTAATAGTAGGGCAAAAAACATAACATTGCTAGCTTATTATGATCTACTCTCGCGAGTAAGCCTACGATAGCATGCTTCACTAATCGATCAAAGCTTCCTCTCATCAACATTTCAATGAAATATAGCACTCACATTACCATAATAAAGCCTACAAAAGAATGAGTAAATTTTATGAAAACTAAAGTGCAAATACTAAATACATTTCATCTAAAACCTCCCTCCTAATTAGGATAATCACAAGAAGCAACATCAAAGTCATCCAACGTAGAATTACTGCATTTTTTGCCAGAATATCAGTAAATATGATTGATCTACAAATAAATATCACATGCTATCAAAATTATTAAAATCATATAAGAAAAGCATACTAAATTCGGAGACTAGACGGAGCAAATAATATAAAATAGCAGATCATTTCTCTGGTGCGGGCTAGATACCATGAAACAACCATCCTAATGATCCTCTCATTCATGCTTGCAATTTAAACCATTAATAACTCCACTTTCTTGGGTCTTCCACCTAATTAATCACTTCCCGAATGGTTCGAACAAGCACCTCACTATTACCTCACATTGGGTTTGTTAGCAAAAAAAGCATTATGAAATGGATAACAACGAATGTTATTGCAACATAACCTGTAGATTACAAAATATATAATATAATCTACCCTAAAACTTCTAATAAATATTAACAAATCTACTTGCCTATTTTGAAAATATCTTCATGATCAAGATTTTTGTGATAGGTCTTACCCACCAAAGCACTCAAGACATGAAGCAAACCAAGCATTCCAGTGTCGTGAATGCTCGTAGACCAAATATTTAATAAAATAACTACAAATTGCCAGAAATGAAATAAGGTATAAGCCGTATTGAAAAAAAAAAGGCATAAATGAAGTTATCTTATATTGAATGCCATCATGCAATCACACAGGTATAAGGAGCTCAAATCTTCTCACAATTACGCTTATGAAGCCTCCAAGCATGGTTTTGATTATTATCAAATAAACAATTATGTAAAACAATGTCCAGTCATGCTTGCCCAACAAGCAGGGTGTAGCAGTACAACAAAAGTCATATTTAAATGTTTCTACTTAAAAGAGGAAAAAACAGTTCTGAAAATATTAAAACGTACTGAATGACTAAATCATATTGATGCTCTAGGCCTTTCGTTATCAAATAAAAGAAGAATGAGATAAAAAGGTAAGCATCAAAAATAAGAAGAAATTTAAAATTGTCCATCTATTGGAAGAGGTTCCCCTAATTATGCTCTTAAAAGAAGACATTCTATCAACATTTAGTTCCATATGCTTTAGGCCAAAGTATTCCAACAACAACTTTGACTCTAAACTATTCAAGTATCATTTGATTTTTTTTTAAATCAAGGAGGAAAAAAAATCATCTTCAACCATACATTCTGTAAAGAATAATGGGATTTCCAAAAAGTTGATGGAAGAGATTATCTTTTTAGTGAAAGTCACCTCTCATTCATCATAGTCTTTAATTATTTATTCTCCTCATAAAATAAACTTATTTTTGAGCTAATATGAATGAGTTCAAACTTTTGCTTCATTTTCAGGATTGTAGCAACCATATATTAAAAGTTGCACAAAGAAAAATGAAGATGAAAATATTGTAAACGCTAAATTAGAAACAAAAAAAAAAAGACTAAACTTCATCTTCAGTAATAAACAATATAAAAAAAGCTTACAAAAAAGGTGTTGCTGATTAGAAGCAAGTAAAGCAATTGCCGAAAGACGTATTGCTATCATTGGAGGGACATTTCCAAGAGGGAGTATAGTCAATGGAGGAAGGTAGTAACAAATGAGGATAGAGTTGCAGGAAGGGGAGTAGCCAAAATAGAGAAGTGTGATGCTATAAGAGGCTAATAATGTCAAAAAAGGGAGTTGCTAAACAATTAAGAGACATAAACAAACTATAGAGGTGAAAGTAAGGTTTGAAATTGACGATCAAAGTTGAGGAGATTATTTTGTAGCTAAGGTTATGGATGTCAATTTGTATTTGCGTTAAGACAACAGAGGAGTCTACATTAGTAAAAGGATTTGGATCTTATGTGGAGAACACGCCCACGCCAACTGATAATGCACTAAGTCTCATTTTGGGCTTCATATCATTGCAAAATTAGACCTTTGGTATGTCAGAACACACCCCCATTTACCTCTCAAACGATCCCTTAACTGACTGCATTGTCAACGACATTCTAAAGCTTGATAACTCAACCTTGCCTTCTACATCTAAATTTCTATCCACTAATCACCTGTCATCATCGAACATTGCCTTCATCCACCAACGTCCCTCTTTTTAGAAACACCCCTCCAATAGTGTGTCATCCAAAAACTTCCTCTTCTCAGCTGAGAATGATACAGTACTTGAACTTCCAGCTCATGAAACGGAAGAGTTGACGAGTCTTCTTATAAAGCTAAATATATATTAAAAATCATTCAACATAAACAGTATTGAATTTCCTCATACTAGGCATTACTTGGTCATTCAATGATGAGCAGCATACCTTGTGTTTACCTTGGCTAGTATTCATTCCCTCATATAAACAAAAATATTCGAAGACAACTCGTTTGATATGAAACTATACCTCTTCATTAGATAGCCATGATTAGGCATAAGTTCTACATAATTTTTATTTGATAATATTAGAAAACAAGCTAAAACAAATGTGGGGAAAGTTTGGACAGCATAAACCCATGTGAATTTGTGGAATTATTAAATGTAAGAGATAACATAATATATCCTCTCTTCTTCACTTAGTTAATCCCTCATTTTATATGTTACACTAAAGCTTCTTTTTAAACATTTGGAATTTTGAAGTATAAAATTCCCAAAAAGAAAGTTTTGAGTGCTTCGAAGAAAAAAGGCATTCTATCATTAAAATCATATCTATGGAGCTATTTTCCAAAAGATAAAAAATTTATTGGTATATTTGATGATGACTATTAAAAAAATTATTGAAAATTATATAATATAACATTGAAATTTTGCATGTTTAAGTAAAACAACATATAGTGCGATCTACCTCGAAGCATATTTGTCAGTAACGACTAACACAACAAAACATATAGATCCCTAAAAGCCATAAGACAACACAAAGTGCATAGCTCGCTATTTTAAAAATAATATAAAGTACTAAAAAATTATGCATAATTTATTAATAATTCAACAATAAAAGAGAAATAACTTGTCGTAAAACTGCTATCAATTTCATATAAGTAGTATATGATAGTGGTTTAAATTACACATCACATAGATGGCAACATTTTTTTTAATAAAATGACATAGTTCATGCAAAATTTTTCCTCGAAGTTCAGCATAAATATGTAACTTGTATTTTTTGTAGCTAATAAAAAAAATTGTGAAATAGTGTTGCCTTAACACTATCTGACGCGGATGTGGGGACACTCCAACGCGGGCGGGAGTAGGGGACTGGTCTGACCGCTCAAGGAAATTCCCTAATTGAGCGGTCCAAGCGATCATCGTACAGATCGAGCGACCACAATATGAGGCGACACTAGCCTTGATGTTCTTTCTGTTTCTGGTTTCTCTTGTATAAGTCTTAATAATTGTTATTTTGAGAGATTGAAGGTTTAATTTTTTTGTTGTGTTGTTTTCAGATTCCTTTGTTTAGTTGTTCTCTCTATTCTACGGCTATAACCAAGGAGGTAGAGGTGCTCCAGTTGTATCCTAATTCAAGGTGGTGATGTATCTTCCTCTATCCTCCTCCCTGCCCCTTCTCCTTCCCTTCCATTAGCCATTGGCCATCCTCGCTGACCTGCCGCCCCTTTTCCACCACCACCTTGTTGTTCAGCCTTTCAATCCACCTTCCAGCACCTTATTCCGCTCCAACCTGCTGCTGGCCTTAATGTCCAGCCCTCCCAGCCGGCCCTTGCAACCTGTCGGGCCCCCTACAACTGTTCTTCTAGTTGTTTGACTAACTTCGTCATCACCAACCACCCTTCCAACAAATCTAACAACCCTCAACCCTTCCCCTTTTTTTCTTGTCACTTGGCCAAAGCCACCACCGCACTTAGATCTTTTCTTCTGGTCCTAGCCAGAAACTGGTTTGTTGTTGTAGTTCCCCTTTTCGTTTGTGACATGTTGTAATCAAATTTCATTAATAATAAAAGTTGTTTTTATTTTTGTTGATTTTCTAACTAGTTCTAATATCATTTGGTATAAAAGCTAGCCTAAACCAAGTCCTATCCTAAGGTTTCCTAGCATCCACCATAATTTTTTTTTTTTTCCTTCCCTACCACCACATATCCTTTCCACAACCCAAACTCTAAGCCGATAAAAATTTGTCTTTCCTATTCCTTAATTCCTACTCATGCCACTAAGGAGAATTATGCCTAAGCCTACTAGGGAAGAAATGAGAGTTACGTTGTATTCAACAGAAACTAGCGGAGATTGAAGAGTTAACATAGGATGAGGTTAACTTCTACCGGGATTTGGAGAGTCAAGGGGAGAAAGAAATGACGATCTGAATCCCTTCCAAGGGGAGACTTTCAGCGATGAAGAAGACAGGACATGGTGTTTTGGAATACAATATCAAAGGAGGCCTAAAGAGGGATATTTGAATCCCTCCCAGAGAGAGATTTTCCAAGAGAAGTCATTTGAAGGACACAGAGACTATGGGATCAAGGTGGGTTTACCTGAGTTTGAAAGAGACTGTGGGATCAAGGTGGGTTTACCTGAGTTTGAAAGAGACATGGATCCGAATGAATACATTGATTGGCTGCAGGTTTTCGAGCAGATATTCAATTATATAGATGTGCTAGAGGATAGGGGGTCAAACTAGCCGCCATTAAGTTGAAGAAGAGTGCTTCCTTATGGTGGGAGAATGTGGAGAGGCAGAGGAAAAGAGAAGACAATGAGAAGATCACTAGGTGAGATAAAATGAAGAAGGCAATGTAGAAGTAGTTGTAACGTTCCATTTCAGTTACCGGGGGAGGAGGAATCGAACAGGAAAAGAGTGGGAGAGGAAACGAAGAACTAAGCAAGGGGGAGAGGAAACGAGGGGAAATGAGGAAGTCGTACAAGAAAAATAGAACCGTTAGGAAGATGAGGCGAATCGAGAACCGAAGGTTGCTTTCGCCCTATAAAGGAACGTGCTTGAGAGGCTAAGGTAAGAATGAATTACATGAGGGTCGAGCGGCTCTGAGAAGAGTGCCTTCCCAATCGAAGGAAGACGAGAGAAAGGAAGTTCGCGGAATGTGCGAGTGCAGAGAAAGAAAAACAGTGCGTGAGCTGAAGCCGAAGGAAGAGAAGACTGGACGAAGGAAGGAGGCATCGTCTGCTATAACAACTCGTGTGAAAGGGAGTCGAAGCCAAAGTTAATATAACTCGCGCGAGAGAAAGCCAGGATTTGGTCGATGATTATAGGGTTAGTTATAAATAGCATTATATATATATATATATATTTAAAAAAAGATTAAATTTTTTATTTTAAATGTGTTTTTTAATAATAATAATAATAATTTAATATTAATTTGGATTACAACAATTAAACTTAAAGACTAAAATATTTCAATACAATAATAATTGATAATTAAATATTTATACTTTATAGGTGATAATTTGAGGTTAGAGCAATCAGATTGTCCATCACGAGATGAGTACTTGTATTTTTAATTTATGATAATATTTTGGTTCTTCTTGATTTTATGCATTAGTTCATAGAGAAATTTGCACAAACTTTATTTTGATTTATATATTTTTCTTTATTGGTCACATTGCTAGGAATGTTTGTAGTTATTTAATACCATGCATGTTATATATAGTATATTTATTGAATGCAACGAGCATATGAATGATATATCTATATTAACTGATTATATATGCATGACTGACTATTTTGGAGTCACATCTTGATGGTACTAGTTGGGAACACTAAAGTACTCATGCACGTATATGAAAAATAATCAACATTTATGAGTCTTAATTGACACACTAGTACTCATGCACGTATATAAAAAATAATCAACATTTATGAGTCTTAATTGACACAATTTTTAGACGATACTCCAGTGATGGTCGTACATATATAAAATGATATTGTTATGTTATTGATATAGTAAGATTTTTTTAATATAATTAAATATTTTATTGATTAACTAAAAGCTTGACTAGCATGCATATCGCTTTCTCTTGCATTATTGTGGTTTTCAAGCTCTATGTCGGGTCCTGACAGTATCTCCCACCCCACTATCGCCAGGATATGCTTCTAAAACACAAATTGCAGCAAAGAAATCTTTCAGTGGAGTTCACAACCCAATTTGATCACTTACAGCTAAAATGCTAGCTGACGGAGTAAGAGGAGCATACATTGGCCAGATATCTCGGAGGATTGAAACCTGTCATTAGCAATGCGGTACAATTACACCTGTACTGGATGCTGGGAGATGTCTAGACATTAGCCTTGAAGGTGAAAAGGCAGCAAAAACAAAGCAAGCAACAATCATCCTTCAGGCAGTAACTTTCAAGTAGACGGTCACCTACGATTACAACGATCAATTGGGGTACGTCGGGAGACAAGCAAGCCTGAACAAGGGAATGATACTTTGGATCAAAGCATGAAAAGACAGAATAAGGGAAGGTCCTACAACACGATACCGACAAAGAAGTGTTGTCGATGCTACAACTACGACCACATTGCCTCCAACTGTCCCACGAGAAGGGCAGTCACACTCACAGATCAATGCGCCGTTGAAGAGATGAGTGACGAGGAGAATGTTGAGGAACAAGGTAAAGTGCATCAGCTTCCACCAGATGAAGAAGAGGCGCTCTTGATTCGAAGTATCCTATAAATGGAGGACATGAGGGATTCACATTGGCTTTGCCACCACATATTCTACACACGCTGCACAATAAACAAAAATGTATGTAGTCTCATCATCGATGGTGGGAACAGCCAGAATGTGGCGACGACATAGATGGTAGAGAAATTGGGACTCACTACTAAGAGACATTCACAGCCAAATTTACTGAAGTGGCTAAAGAGAAAAAATCAGGTCAACATCGACCAAAGATGCTTAGTAGAGTTCTCAATTGAGGGCCAACTACAGAATCAGGTGTGGTGTGATGTGTTCCCTATGCATACCTTCCACCTTCTGTTAGGACGACCATGGTAGTTTGAGCGAAGGACTCAACATGATGGATTCAGGAACACATACTCATTCACCAAGAATAGGAAGCACATCATTCTACTCCCTTTGGCGAAGCCTGAGATCCCAATAGCCCTTACCAACAGAGCGACGTCAGTGAAACCAGTTTTGGTGATGATACTAGACGAGAGGACTGAGACACCCGCTTTAGATACAGGACAAATATGATCGAGGGTATTTCAAGGGCTCAAGATCGACATCGCACCACCGGCTCCACCGCTGGTTGGGAAGGTTCAGATTATCTCATTGTACGTCTGATTGAACTGACTGTGGGAGGGTTACTTTGAGAAGATTCAGCAGTATAGACATTGTTCAAAGTTTTAGGAGAATAACTTGAGATGGACATGTGCTCACAAAGGGGACAAGCTTCTCTGACGGGCTGGGTGACAGTGCAATCGACGGTGGGACCTAGGTTTCACCAAGATTGAAGACGGAAACCAGAAGCTTCAGCGATTGAGGTCGAAGCTCACCCAAACCCAGAAGACTGAAGAGCGGGAGCAGGGATACTCTAGCACAGGCGAGAGTAGGGGACCGATCCGACCCGCTCAATTGAGGACCGGTCCAAGGAATTTCCTAACCAAACGGTCCAAGCGAACATCTTATGAATCAAGTGGCCATAATATGAGACATAATGCCGCCTAGCCTTGTTGTTATTTCCTTTCTTGTTTTCTCTTGTTCAAGTCTTTATAAATATTGTTCAGTTCTTTTGCTATGTATTGTGTTCATATTTCTTTGTGGATTTGTTCTCCCTGTTCAAGCGTTGTTCCGAAGAAGTGGTGGTGCTCCGGCTATATCTTAGTTCGAGGTGGTGATGTATCTTCCTCTATCCTCCTCCCCACGCCTTCTCCTTTCCCTCCATTAATTGTCAGCCTTTTCTTTCTTGTTTTCTCTTGTTCAAGTCTTTATAAATATTGTTCTGTTCTTTTGCTATGTGTTGTTTTCATATTTCTTTGTGGAGTTGTTCTCCTTGTTCTAGCGCTGTTCCGAGGAGGTGGTGGTGCTCCGGCTATATCTTAGTCCGAGGTGGTGATGTATCTTTCTCTATCCTCCTCCCCACCCCTTCTTCTTCCCTTCCATTAGCCCTTGACCATCCCACTACCATCCTCGTTGACCTGCAGCCCCTTTTCCGCCATTGCCTTACGGTTCAACCTTTCCAATCCGCCTTTTAGCACCCTATTCCCCTCCAACCTGCTATTGGTCTTACCGTCCAGCCCTTTCAGCCGCTCCTTGTAGCCTGCTTGGCGCCCTATAGCAGTTCTCCTTGTTGTCCGACTCACCTAGTCATCACCAACCATCCTTCCAACATATTAGATATTCCTCAACCCTTCCCTTTTTCCCTTGTCACTTCTCCGACGCCACCACCGCTCTCGGATCTTTTCTTTCAATCCTAGCCCAAGACAGATTTGTCGTTATAATTCATCTTTTTGTTTGTGACGTGTTGTAACCCTGTTTCAATATTAATAAAATTTGCTTTTGTTTTTATTGATTTTCTAACTAGTTCTGATATCACTACCTATACTCAATCAAATGATAGATTAGCAAATTATACAAAATAAAATTAGGTTGAAATTTCAACTAAATTAAATCAAACAAAAAAATATATAAAATAAACAAACAAAATAAAATCAAGCCAAATAGTAGTTAAGAAAAGGGAAAAAAAGAAAGAGTATACATACATGTAAAAACAAGTCTTTTGACTTTGATTTGGCGGCACTATCTTTACTCAATCAAATGATAGATCTACAAAATATACAAAATAAAATTAGGTTGAAATTTCAACCAAATTAAATCAAACAAAAAAATATAAAACAAACAAACAAAACAAAATCAAGCCAAATAGTTAAAATAAGGGAAAAAAAAAAGAAAGAGTAAACATACATGTAAAAATAAGTCTTTTGACTTTGATTTGGTCAGCAAGCGATACTAATCAAATGGAGTTTTTATCTCAGTGTCTCCCTGAAAGCCATCAAGCAAAGAGTTCTCTTCATCCAAGCGTCACTAGAGTTTATAAGCCAAAGAGGAGGCGTAGTCATCCATGTGTGAAAAGAGGACCCATCCTCTTCAAAAGGCTGCGAAAGGGAGTCAAGCCGGCTGTCCATGCAAAAAGGAGGCATATTCCCAAGTCTTTGTATTGACAAAGAGGCAAAGTTATCTCTATATATGAAGAACTACAAAGAAGAGCATAGTCGTCAATGCATGATTGTGTGTATTACCATGAATGAGTAATCAAATTCCAATAAAAACAATATTAATATATAAAAAATTAAACAATAATAATAATAATTTTATAACATAAAATAAAAAAGTAAAATAGTGTATATTGCAAGGGAAATGTGTCGTGCACTACAACTCACTCATATAAAAAATTAAGCAGACGCCCCATATGTCGCTGCACAAATAGATCAGGATTGTCTTGCTACACTAAGGGCAATAATGCGCACTATAGTATGCACTCTTGACATGTATGCCTTAGAAATAGTTTGTTTGATTGCATACGAGGGACACAATAAAGAGAAACTTGTTCAAGTGATTTAAAAAATGCTAAACTAAGCAAGGGCTTAACAAGATAAATCAATGCTTTAAAAGCTCAAATTGCAAACAAGAAAGAAAAGAAGTTTACACAATCCATTGTAATAAACAAATGAGTAAGCTCAATAGTGCAAGTTTGAAACTCATGTGGGGGAACAAAGAAAAAAATAATTGAAATCACATACGCGACTTCCTTAAGAAAGTTGATAACATTATCGCATACAAAAAACCTCTCTAATGATCCACCTAAAAAAGAAAAAAAAGTTAAAGATTACAATCTAAATCATCCCATCACCTAATGATCAAAGAGCTGACATAATTGCTTCCAACAAATGCAGATGCGTTAGTGATTACTTCAAAGAAAATGTGATAGCAGTTACTACTAATTAATTTTTTTTTTCTTTATGCTGTTTTAATTTTTAAAAAAGTCACATATAAGGATTCCATGAAGCAGTGCATTGAATATTTTTGGAGAAGAAAAAATTTGAATGGTTTGCAAACAAATGTATTCCATGTTCAAGGGGGTGCTTTAGTCGAGAGAGCATGCTTACATCATCACCTAGCTTATTATAACTATTTTTCATAATGAAAGTTATTGAAGTTTAAGCATTGCTTTAAACTTTCACTAATAGATGGCACTGCAAAGCTGTTGCAACACACGAGGAAGTAATTATGTCAGCTCTTTGATCATTTGGTCATGGGATGTGCTTGATAAGGATCTATACTACGCTTTTTGTTTTTCTTTTATTATTTTGAAATATATTATATTTTGTTATAGAAATATCTTATTAAAGCTGAGTATAGAGGAAATGATAAAAGAATTCTAAACGTGGAACTGTGAGAAAAGGAAGATGAAATACATTTTGATTTTATCATCTAATTTGTTTAATGGAGCCCTAAAAAACTGACACTGACTGCTTTAACAATATCAAAGAGCGTTCCTAGCACAACAGTAGCATGCAAAATTCACGTTTTATAGCTCAGACAAGAAAAATCACACTTTTTCACGCAATTTGGATTTTTAGTCTATTAATCTATACATTTAGATATGGTTTTCATGATTTTAAGAATATCTATGATATTTTATAAGTCAATCACATTGTCAAGGATTGCATCATGGAACTTGATAAATTTAAAGTGAAAGATTATGATTTTGTTCCTAGTGGCTATCCTAGTAAGGAGGGAAATTTTCAAAGAAAAATGCACAATTTTATTTCTACATTAACTTCACTTAAATAGATGCAAACTTCAATGTGCCAGATAGTGAAGTGTGAGTATTATATTCCATTGAAAATTCAAGAGAAAGAAACACTATTAAAATACTTAATATTGATGTCTCACGAACTTGTTGCATAGCATTAGTTATACACAAAAGTCAAGCAAATGAGCATGACATAAATTAAAGGTTGACCCAAACATTAAATTGAGACACGGTATCTTTTTTCCTAATGTCGTAATGTTGTTATTCTTGTTGTTAAGAAGTGGTTTGAGACCTTATGTCATTTGTATCTAGCCTTTTTAAAGTACGAGAAAGTTTTCTGATAAATAATCTTTGTAACAATGCTATCACTACATGAATTAAATGTTGAGAATGGGGTTTTATAATAAAAGTGTTCCTAAAATAATAGAGCCATAAAACAATTATCAAGCAAGCATAAAACAATGTATAGAATCTTATAGCTTTATTCTTATTGCTGAGCCATTTATGTTGGTTTCCGAGTAATAATATGATTCATTTTAAAGTTACTCAAAAAAATTTATGGTATGCATACAGAGCTCCTTGCACATTACCAGCTCTCATAACCTTACACGGTTGTAAAAATTGTATTTGGAGCTTTCACATTCATATAAAGAAACTGTCATGACAACAACCAAGTAGGATATTTTTATTTAAAGTGCATATAATGAATGACCATGACGATTAACACAAAAAAAAAGTAGAGCCAACATAGAATAGCGACTAGTTAGCACATGTGGTGTCAAACGTCACAATATCACCAAGATATTCATATGAACTCCAGAAATATGAAACCCAAAAAAGAAAAAATGTAAAAGTTTACAATCAGATAATGATGGACTAGTATAATTGGCTGAATGTTGTTATAAACTTTTAGAGGATGTTATAGCTCCGAGTATGCCTTAGATATTGATGGACCTTTTTATGTGGTGGGATGTTTATAGAACTTTTATGGATATTTGTAGTTCTGTACGTATTAGATGACGTGCATTCATGATATATAATTAACTATAGTAAAAACTAATATTAAAATTAGTGATATTATGAAAAGCCTAGTGTTGAACTGATCTTGTTATTGATTTTGTCATTTGGAAGTTTCTCTATTGTTTGTTGCTATGATGTCTGTTATACAACGAGTCAGGCCATGATAGTTAACACTCATGTAGCAAGGAGCTAGTAGATGACTTAGTTTGGGCACTATATTTTGGTGTGTAATGATTTGGTAGTGCAGTAAACGCAGATTTATTATGTTGCTGAGTTGCGAGTGTCAATTTAAGTAATATGTTGATCAATTTAATCTTTGAAAATATTACTAATGCATCTAAAATTGTCAGTCTCCCCTTTTAATTGTCAACATGCCAGACCCATTTAGGGATTAAAAAGAAGCAAGAAAATTAAAACATAAGAAAGTTATAAAGATGTTACTCACTAATGCAGAAAATGTATTAGATTGAAAAGAAAGTAAAGTGCATGCAAGTAGATCGTCAAATTACATCCACATGGAGAAAATGCACAATAATTATAAAACTTATTAAAGTAAGTAAATACAATCGTTAGATATATTCAAATTGAATAACACTGGCACGGTGATGATAAACACAAATTATACAACCATGAGCTTACAATATACTAGAGATCATATGCTGAAATAGACTACTAGATAGTAAAGTGTGTGCACGATAAGCAATAATACTCACAATCATGGTTGAAAGTGCATGAACCAAATTCTGGTATCAATTAAGTCGTTAGAGATGACAAATGTAATAGCTTCAAAGATGAGAATTATATGCCCAGTGGTTCTTCAAAGGATACCTACAGACCAGAAGAAAGGTTAAGAGGAAACGGAAGTGTAATAAAGCCTGATAACAGCCAATCAGAATTTCCTTTAATCAACAACCAAATTCAATCAACAAAGATGATACCCGAGTGGCAGAGCATGATCGGACCAATTGAATCTGAAGTGAATTAACTAGGAGGTCAGAACCACACTATAGATCAAAGTTTTCAAGGTCGCCAAATCAACAATGATTCAATGGAACCAACTAATAAGACAAGGAAAAAATGTTGTTTCTAGAGAAAAATTTTACAGTTGTGAAGTGTTTTGCGTTGCATGATTGTGGTCAAAGTTTGTGCGTATGTGTAGTTGTGCAGATGAATTAAAAACAATAGCAAGCGAATAGAAACTTTTTAGTAGCAATCACCAAAGCAAGAATTCAATCAGAATAGAGAGAATAGCATAAAGGAATCTCGTCAAACAAATATTCAAACAATAGAAACTTGAGTTGAAAATTGCAAGAAAAAAATAGAAAAAAAATCTATGTTATAAAATTTAAATCCGCACAATGGCATTGTTCTAATACCAAATTGATATTGCAAGTACAGATTGGTAAGATATTTGGTGGTTCCAACGTGCCAACCTACACTTTTATGAAAAAGAAGGTTCAAACCTAGCAAAGAACATTACTAATTATTGTGCAAACAAGAGAGAAATATAGAACACAGATTTGGTAAAGAAAATAGAAGAGGGAGAGGAAAAAGAAAGTTGCTTCGAGAGAGAGAGGGTGGAAAAAACTCAATTTACATGACACAGTTGCACAGAAAAAACTATGTTCCCCAAGGTTATATAGAGAAAAATATGAATTCGACTGTTCAGAAGAAACTATGTTCCCCATTGCTTGATATACATGTCAAAGCACTGAATGCATCAACAATGTCAGAGCATCAATGACTACAAATTGCATATAGGAAGTTGCCAAGGGATTAATGCACCCTACAAAATGTAAAATCCACCCTAAGGTGTATAAAACTCAAAATGCATCAAACATGTTTTGAGAAAAAACAATAATAGAATTGCACCAAAATACATGTTAGAGCATTACTGCACCCAAGGGTAACAGCCTCCAACATAAGTATAGATGATCAAAAGATCCTATGCAACAAATTGTAGACGGTGTGCCTCCACCCTTGTAAAAATCAATTAATACTTGCTCAAAATCATGCTTTTAGAAGTAAAACAAAGTTCAATATTATAATTTGCTTAGTCATGCTCCATGTCTTTAAGCCTCTCATCCTACCTTGTATACCAAGTGCTTTGCCAATAAGTGAGCCGTGATCATTAAGTACATTATTGTGCCTTCGGCATAACATCAATTTTATGCTCAAATGAGGAAACTCATAGCTCCCAACGAGAAACCTAATAGTGATCACTTAGGCCCTTAGATTCTTTTGAATGAAATCCACTCAATAATCCTAGGAGATTTGTATGGGAATGGGATCTATAGATGATTTATCACCACCCACCATATATATTCCACGAGCATGACGCAACCATCCAATGAAATCAAATATATTTCATCTGCATAACCAAGCACCCACATACAAAGTGACACTTTTTGATATCAATAATCAAGAATAATTAACTATAGGAGATTGCAACCGTAAAATTCCTTAAACAAAAGAATCAATTAAAACCCAACAAAATATTAAAAATTGCTTATAATGTGCAATCTAACTCGCGAAAGTTTATCAAGCTTATTATACCGGACTTACTTTCAAGCTCCCACATATATTATATTTTTGTGCCAAACATAAACTACATTGAAAGCATACTGAAGCATTCTAAGCCCCCGACAAAGTCTTCATCTACAACAATACCTTTCCCAAGTCTGTATTAAAGAGGAAGGGATGATCCCATCTGATGAAGAAAAGGTTACATTAAGTGTCCACAAAAAATGAAAGATTCAAGGACTAGTAATTTCAATAACAACCCTTAAATGTTTCTGTAAAGTAAAATCAACATAATACACTAAGAAAATTGAACGATTACAGAGGCAATTATGATTATTGAGGGTGGAAAAACAAGTTAGACAATTGATAACCCTAACCTTTTTTTTTTTTTAAGAAGGAAACCCGTAGGTAATTTTATAATTTTATTGCTCAAAAGTAAAGTTACATGTGTTTAGGAGATTGGATCCCGCTACAAATCAAAAAATTGATAAACCTAACCTTAAATGTTCATATATATAATGTAAAGAAAGAACAGAAAAAAGGGAAATTTTGTCATCCAGTTTGCAAATTAGTACTTTTTCAACAATCTATAGCAATATACCTTCATTCATATCACTTGACAATAATTAAACAGTGAAAGTCCTGTCCCATCGCAGCAAAAGAAGACTAAAGTGACAAGTCTAGCTTAGCAAGATTTCCTTCTTTCAAGTGGATTGCTTCAACTAGTAACTTCGTTCGTGGCTCTACAATCATTCCTTTTGAGCTCATTTTGCTGAAGTACTGCAGAGCCTGATCAAAATTCCCGCTGTTATATAATCCATGAACCATAATGGTGTAAGACCGTTGATCAGGACCAACGCCCTTTTTCTCCATCTCAGCCCAAACAGAATGGACACCTTCCTGGTAGTTCCACCGAGAATAAAGGTTTAATACTAAATTATAAGTGTCCCCATTTATTTTGCAGCCAGATCTCTCCATTTTATGCAGTAACTCAGTAACTTCTTCAGGCTTTCTTGTTGTTTTCAGAATATAGGAATATGTTCTAGCATTCGGGAGGCATCCCCTTTTCTCCATCTCATCTAAAAGCTCAAATACTTTCTCCATTCTTCTAATCTTGCAGAGGTGTTTTATGAGAGAATTATATGTAGCAACATCAGGAAGGCAACCAGGTTCATTCATCTCATTAAATACTCCAAGAGCTTCTGGGATCCTCTTTTTGAAACAGAGAGCATCAATGATGCAATTACAAATTGCCACATCCGGATTGTACCCATTCTTTCGCATAGCAGCAAAAAGCTTCACCGCTGTGCCAAGCCTTCCAGCCTTAGTCAATGAATTGATGAAAATGCCATATGTGAACAAATCTGGTTTGCACTTTGAAGATATTATGTCATTCCAAAACCTTTTGGCTTCGCGTGAATTTCCCAAAACACACCAGCCATTAAGAATTATGTTCTGGCTTTTAATAACAGGAGGAAACTCATCTTGCTTTTTAAGAAAGAGAGCTTCTGCCTCTTCAACATGTTTATACCTGCAAAGAGACATCAAAAGTGTTTGAAAAGCAAGCATCTGATCTTCAAAGCCATAATCTTTTCTCTTGTAAAACACTTGAATGGCTGATTCTACTTTATGAGCTGCTGCATATCTGTTCATTAGAATTGCAAATGTTCTCTCAGTAATCACTGCAGCCATTCTCTCCTTCGGTACTTCGTCAAAAACTTGTTGCATCAGTTCTAATTGTTTCATCCGTCCAAGAATATCAAGTATTTCATTATAGGATCTCCATCCATGACTATAACCTTTTTGTCTGGATGCCCAATTAAAAAAGAAAAAGGAAGACTTCCAATCAGAGTTATGCCTCCGAAGGACCTGGATGACCAAATCCTCAGTAAGGGTAAGCTTACATTTATTGATTGCTGACTCTATATCATGAGGATCTTCATTTGATTTGAAGATGTTCTGGATCATGAGTAGCACTTTCAAATTTGAACGATCATCAGTATCCAGAATTTCTGTACAAGAAAGGGAAATGCTTTTCACCTGAGAACCAGAACTAGTATTTTCACCACTGTAGAGGCTAGATGTAGCACTAGCTTCAGTATAAAGTTTTTTGCAAATAAATCCATGAAAATTACCATCCTGTGACAAATGTTGCACTTTCATAAAACTGCTAAATACAATATTTAAAAAATGAAGTAAAACCAATCAGGTGAAAAGGCATACCTCATTAAGTTGATAATGTTGGCTTGTGAGTTGATTATTGCCTGATTAAAGCATAAAATTGTACATTAATCAAACTTTAAATTATTTTCTTAGGACAGAACCATCTGGGAATCAAAATACAGAGTAGAATAACCTATATAAACCATGTGTCATAAATAAAATCTAGGAAACAACATCATAAAAGAATAATTCGAGATAATGTTTTAAGTTTCAGCACTTTTTTTCTGCGTTTGTACAATATATAGTAAGCTCGATTTGGAAAAATAATTAATCCACAATTACCTTCTAAATTAGAGAGAATATCTTAACAAAATGCATTGATTCATCAATAATAAAAAACAGAAAAACAAAAATAAGTAACATTTGCCAAACATTTGAAACTTTATTGAAAAGGTGCAAAAAAAACCATTATATAGATATATAGATATATATATGATTGCCGCCAACCTGGTCTGTTGTTAGAACAACCTCTTTGAAGGTTGTAAATCCCCTCAGATCAAGGGTTCAAATCACCCTTTGACCAGTTTGCCGGTAGTGAAGGCGGTTCTCGAATAGGTAGGCACATGAGGTGGTTGAGGGCTCGTATAATAGCCTCCAACCATTCTTTTATTTAATATATATATATATAAAGGAAATGGGTATTAATTTATATTATAATGATGTTTACAACACATGTG